CCCTGGAATTGGCAGGTGATTATTCATGTTGTGTACTGTACTTGTATATGTTACATTGTGTTAATGATGTAGATGGTATTTACTAACATTTAGGGGTGTTGTGGTGCCATAGCAACTTGTTTGTTCTGTTGGTATATTCCTTTATCTCCCCACCTATTTACAGTCAGGTCCATAAATATTGGGACATCGACACAATTCTAACATTTTTGGCTCTATACACCACCACAATGGATTTGAAATGAAACGAACAAGATGTGCTTTAACTGCAGACTGTCAGCTTTAATTTGAGGGTATTTACATCCAAATCAGGTGAACGGTGTAGGAATTACAACAGTTTGCATATGTGCCTCCCACTTGTTAAGGGGCCAAACATAATGGGACAGTTGGCTTCTCAGCTGTTCCATGGCCAGGTGTGTGTTATTCCCTCATTATCCCAATTACAATGAGCAGATAAAAGGTCCAGAGTTCATTTCAAGTGTGCTATTTGCATTTGGAATCTGTTGCTGTCAACTCTCAAGATGAGATCCAAAGAGCTGTCACTATCAGTGAAGCAAGCCATCATTAGGCTGAAAAAACAAAACAAACCCATAAGAGAGATAGCAAAAACATTAGGTGTGGCCAAAACAACTGTTTGGAACATTCTTAAAAAGAAGGAACGCACCGGTGAGCTCAGCAACACCAAAAGACCCGGAAGACCACGGAAAACAACTGTGGTGGATGACCAAAGAATTCTTTCCCTGGTGAAGAAAACACCCTTCACAACAGTTGGCCAGATCAAGAACACTCTCCAGGAGGTAGGTGTATGTGTGTCAAAGTCAACAATCAAGAGAAGACTTCACCAGAGTGAATACAGAGGGTTCACCACAAGATGCAAACCATTGGTGAGCCTCAAAAACAGGAAGGCCAGATTAGAGTTTGCCAAACGACATCTCAAAAAACCTTCACAGTTCTGGAACAACATCCTATGGACAGATGAGACCAAAGATCAACTTGTACCAGAGTGATGGGAAGAGAAGAATATGGAGAAGGAAAGGAACTGCTCATGATCCTAAGCATACCACCTCATCAGTGAAGCATGGTGGTGGTAGTGTCATGGCGTGGGCATGTATGGCTGCCAATGGAACTGGTTCTCTTGTATTTATTGATGATGTGACTGCTGACAAAAGCAGCAGGATGAATTGTGAAGTGTTTCGGGCAATATTATCTGCTCATATTCAGCCAAATGCTTCAGAACTCATTGGACGCCGCTTCACAGTGCAGATGGACAATGACCCAAAGCATACTGCAAAGCAACCAGAGTTTTTCCAAGGGAAAGAAGTGGAATGTTATGCAATGGCCAAGTCAATCACCTGACCTGAATCCGATTGAGCATGCATTTCACTTGCTGAAGACAAAACTGAAGGGAAAATGCCCCAAGAACAAGCAGGAACTGAAGACAGTTGCAGTAGAGGCCTGGCAGAGCATCACCAGGGATGAAACCCAGCGTCTGGTGATGTCTATGCGTTCCAGACTTCAGGCTGTAATTGACTGCAAAGGATTTGCAACCAAGTATTAAAAAGTGAAAGTTTGATTTATGATTATTATTCTGTCCCATTAGTTTTGGTCCCTTTAACAAGTGGGAGGCACATATGCAAACTGTTGTAATTCCTACACCGTTCACCTGATTTGGACGTAAATACCCTCAAATTAAAGCTGACAGTCTGCAGTTAAAGCACATCTTGTTCGTTTCATTTCAAATCCATTGTGGTGGTGTATAGAGCCAAAAATGTTAGAATTGTGTCGATGTCCCAATATTTATGGACCTGACTGTATATCTATTTAGTACAGTTCTATCTAGGCCCTCCTTTTTTCTCATGTGCATACACTGATTGATTGAATTTATGTACGTTTCCTGCTAAACTGGCTGAAATTCATTTTAGTGGGTGGCCCTGTTGGCCCCTTCCCGTCCAACATCCTTTGAAATTGAAAGAGGCAGAAAATTGGCAGCCGAGCAGCAGCTTCATCTGATTGGCAGCTGTTAGAAATATAGTCTTCTGTGAATGGGCAGAACTGCTCCGTGTGTTTCTCTCCTCTTAGATCCCGGAGTGTCCCGTCACTCCAGCAGAGCAGCAAACCCTGTCGGGTGTAAATAATAGAAGTCTAGGAGATGTCATGCACCTAGTTGGATTTGACTCATAGGGTGCCTTCACTTTTTACAAAGTGACTGAATTCCAGGAATTCAGCTTTAAAGCAAACTAGCAAATGCACACCCTTGTTATCAAATAGATCTGTAGTAATACAGATCCCAGTTTCTTGGAAGACTTGATGCTTACCATCTTTCATCTTCCTCTTGGCATCCTGTCTCTGGCCAGTCCTCACTCTTTGTTGAGTAACTGGGGTTTGAAAGACAGTCAATATTTTCCATCAGGCTTTCTTTTTCTGGTTTTCTTTTTAGCCATCTTTGAGTGCCAATTATATAAATCTAATATACCATTAGACCTATAATAATTTTAGTTTTTTGTTAGCTAATAAAATCTTTGTGTACATAAGACACGGGAACCTGAAATCATAATGTTTTATTCTAATAAATTATTATTTGGCATTTTGCAATACGCTTGATTCGGAAGGAAAACATTTGGGGTGACAGGTTGTGACCCAGGTGAGGTTGTGTGTAGAGAACAGGGATTTTGGAGGGGAATATGTAATGTTGGAAGGAAGAATGAGGGGCATTCTGGCGGCACAGTCTACAATAGACATGGTGAGTCTCTTTGTGATTGCTAGTATTTTGTAATGTCTTCAGCACAGCAACATTCCGGGAACTCTTCATAAGCCGGCAGTATTGGTTGCTATGTGTCTTTTGTTTAGCCCAAGCTTTTTATTTGTAGCAGTGAAATTCATGTGGATGCTTAGTCTGGATTCAAGAAAATGCTTTTCAGTGCAGTGGTATGTTGGATTCCCTAGGCAGTTGTGTAAAGGCATTGTACACTTTTTAAGGCTAGTTTCACCCTTGCCTGCAGTCTGTGGGCTGGTTGCGGGTGCAGAAATTGCACCTGTTCCCACACCCGCAGCCAAATCGTGCTACTTCTACAGGACTTTATTCTAAATGGCACCCCCACAGATCTCAGCCTGCAGCATGTTTGTGGGAACCAAAGGGAAATTGCATGGTCAAAAAAGACCATGCATATTCCCTGCGGCTGCGTTTTTAAAAAGGTGCATGCAGCTTTTTTCCTGTGGGAAAGACTGGGAGAGCAGTCCATTCAAATGAATGGGCTGCAGTGCCCATGCAAATGTGGCCCACATGGCCCACAATGGTGTGAACCTAGATTACTAGTTTTTGTTTCAACTAGTTATCAGTGGTATATAACATGAGTCATATGTTGCCTTACCTTGTAATGACCATCTCCCATGTGATGGCTGCGGTTTGTAGTGTCATGGTCCATCTATTCCTCTATTTTGTCCCTATGCACTAAAATGACAGCCAACTTCTTGTTCTAGGTCACACCACGTCCAGTCCATGCTTCATCATTTCCTCTGTGTTGCATTACAAATGTAGAAGTGTTAATGTGATGAAGCATTGCATGGTGATCTTTGCTAAAGGAAAAGCACAGCCAAAGCTCTTTTGGCTGTACTTCTCCAGTGAATCACAGGAGTGTAGCTTGTTCTGCACTGCCATGATCCGTTTTCAACTGACAGTGGGCTGAAGCCTCTCAACCAGTCCAGGCTGGGAAAAGATCCAGACTTTAAAGTCGGGATCCACCCCAGAGTCTGGAGCAGTCCTTGGCTCAGCTTCTCAGCGATCTGGCTGAGACCCTGAGCCAGCCGCTCCCTTCCCCCCTCCATAGCCCAGAACTCCAGTGAAGCACTGGTGGGGCATAGCTGACAGCAGCTGTGAGAACTCGGCAATCGTGATTGCCGAGTTCTCACACTTAAACACAGGCATTTTTCCCAGCTTCCTGCCCATACCTCTGTACACGCTTTCAGTTGCAGAACTAGATGAAGTGTCAATGGGCTATGAGTGCGTTGATCCGTGGCGGACAGGACTTGTAGTTTATTTGTTTAGAGATTTTTGTGAATGAATAACAACGCTATGCGGGCTGAGCCCCGCACAACCATGCCAATTTTAAAGGTGACAGCAGATGTGGAGGAGAGGAACCCCTGCATGCTGTCACCCCTAAATAGGGATGTAAACATGTTTCTAAAGGTGAACTTAGCCTAATTGCTCTGCCTGCCTGTGTCTGTCTGTGTCAGTTATAATTACAGGCTGTGTGTATGGAGCAACAAATGACACCATGAATCTACATGATCATGTGCATCTTATGCAGGTGAAAAACACAAAGTGCAGGTAGGAAGGATTATAATGCCTTTAAAGCTGAAGTCTGTCTTCCTCTGCCTCCTGGGTACCCCCACAGCTGTTATCTTCCAATGCTGCAGGGGTTAATTTGAGCGACTCTGTCACAGGCACTCATCAAAAGTGTCAACTATTCCCGCCCTGTTAAACTCCCCCCATTCATAGAAGAGCTGTACTGTCAGTTACCACAATGAAATGTGTGTGGATTATTTTTGAAAAATAAAGATATTGTTTAGTATCGCATTAACCACTTCCTGTCCGGCCCATGTTGATAAACGGCTAGACAGGAGTGCTGCCGAAGCATTTCTAAACATCCCCCTGTATCCATTGCCTGTGTGTGCTCCTTAAGAGCGCGCGGCACCGCGATTGGTGCCCGCTGTGTCCTCCAGACACAGATCGCTGTACGGGACCTCTGTGTGAGGTCCCAATTCATGTGATCACTGATTGGCCAATCGGTGATCATTAGAGATGAGCGAAGTATTCAAAAATTCGATTCGACTGATTCGGCGAATTCGTGGAAAAATTTCGATTCGAGTCGAATATATTCGCTGTGAATTTAACTTAAAAAAGGGTGTTTCTAGGCTTCAGAGAGACTTAATATTAGTGCTGAACATTGTACCTTTAATTTAAATGCCCTTGGAGTCTGCTGGGGAAGAGAAATAATACTGTCAGGCAGTATGACATGCAGATGAGTGCCGTCGATCTTAGAATCGCCGCACACTTCACTCATTTGGCCAGTCACGGGGCCAAAACCAGAGTGTGGAGCCACAGTGTGGCGGTGGAGGCAGCAGCAATGGGAGGCCATACAGCACCCTATGACAAAAATGGAAACCACCAGCAGTGTGAGGAGACCTGAAAGTGGCAGCAGAGTGAGGAGAGACGGTACGGGGGCCCATGGCAGATTACAGGGCCTGGCAGCAGCAATGGGAGGCCGTACAGGGACCCATGACACAATCTGGACCTGGCAGCAGCATGGGGAGGCGGTACAGGGGCCCATGACAGATTACGGGCCTGGCAGCAGCATTTGGAGTCGGTACGGGGGCCCATGACACACTCTGGACCTGGCAGCAGCATGAGGAGGCGGTACAGGGGCGCATGACAGATTACGAGCCTGGCAGCAACTTGGACAGGAGGACGTTCAGTTTCTGCACCGTCTGGTGCGTGCTCGCAAACTGTTGTCTCTTGGAAACGGATTCCAAGAAAGACTGCTGACGGAATCCGTGAAGAGGAGTAGCAGGAGAAGGAGCATCTGAACGAGCGGAATATGCCAACAAGCGACAACAGGGGCCCATGACAGATTACGGGCCTGGCAGCAGCATGAGGAGTCGGTACGGGGGCCCATGGCAGATTAGGGGCCTGGCAGCAGCTATGGGAGGCCCGTAATCTGCCAGCACCCTATGACAAAAAATGGAACCCACCAGCAGTGTGAGGAGACCTGAAAGTGGCACATGGCAGAGTGTGGCGATGGAGACAGCAGCAATGGGAGGCCGTACAGGGACCCATGACAGACTCTGGACCTGGCAGCAGCATGAGGAGGCGGTATAGGGGCCCATGGCAGATTAGGGGCCTGGCAGCAGCTATGGGAGGCCCGTAATCTGCCAGCACCCTATGACAAAAAATGGAATACACCAGCAGTGTGAGGAGACCTGAAAGTGGCACATGGCAGAGTGTGGCGATGGAGACAGCAGCAATGGGAGGCCGTACAGGGACCCATGAGAGACTCTGGACTTGGCAGCAGCATGAGGAGGCGGTATAGGGGCCCATGGCAGATTAGGGGCCTGGCAGCAGCTATGGGAGGCCCGTAATCTGCCAGCACCCTATGACAAAAAATGGAACACACCAGCAGTGTGAGGAGACCTGAAAGTGGCACATGTTTGGGGCATGATTCATGGCGGATTTAGTCAGTTGTGTCAGGAACTGGTGGTTTGAAATCCAGACTAATCCACGCCTGATTCATTTTCACAAACGTCAGTCTCTCCACACTTTGGGTGGACAGTCGTGTCCTCCGCGGAGTTGCAATACCTCCTGCCGCACTAAACACGCGCTCCGATGCCACGCTACTGGCCGGGCATGACAGCCTTTCAAGGGCAAATTCAGCTAGTTGGGGCCAAAGGTCAAGTTTCGTTGCCCAGTAGTCAAGGGGATTGTCTACCTCGGTTGGCAGGGTGCTGTCCAAGTAGGCCTAAGCCTGTTGTTTGAGGTCCTGCTCCAGGTCCACCTGATGCTGCTGCTGCTGCTGCTGCTGCGGCTGGTTAGTAGTTTCCTCACTGCGCTGGTGAAGAAAGCTACTCATCATCGACTGCAGACTGAGGCAGCCGCTGCTGGTGGAGCTGCCACTGCTCCTACCACCCCACCCCTCCCCTGCTGCCATGGCAGCGGAACGCGAGCGCACAGGGCCCACAGTGTCTGAGGATGGACGTTGGCGCAGACAGGCAGAGACCAGCTGACTACATAGGTGGTTTTTATAGTACGTTATTTTGGCCTCCCTCTCAGCAGGTGTGAAAAAGGCCACCATTTTTGAACGGTAGCGAGGGTCCAACAAGGTGGACAGCCAAAAGTCATCCCTCTGTCTGATGGTTATTATTCGGCTGTCGCTACGCAAGCAACCGAGCATGCTATGGGCCATTTGTGCCAAGGAATGCGAGGGACTCCCTGCCTCCATCTCCACAGCATACTGCCACGGTGCGTCTGGGTCCTCTGTCTCCTCCTCCTCCTCCTCTCTACCAGATGCTCCTGCTCCTCCACTCCTGTCCGCTGAGTGGAAAAACCACCCATTTCACTCAATAATTCCTGAGCACAAATGTCCTCCTCTACCTCCTCCTCTTCTTCCTGTCCTGCCCCCACAGGGGTCATGTGGCGTTGAGATCTGTGCGCCACGTCTACCGCACCCTGACCAGCCATTGTTAACAGCATTTGTTCAAGGACGTGCAACAGAGGAATGACGTCGTTCATCCCATAGTCCTGCCGACTCACGAATAGCGTGGCCTCCTCAAAGGGCCTGAGCAAGCGGCAGGTGTCACGCATGAGCTGCCAATGGCTGACATCGAAGTTACACAGGGGAGTACCTTTATCCGCTTTTAACATCAGGAAATCGGTGATGGCCTTTCGCTGTTCGTAAAGGCGGTCTAACATGTGTAGGGTTGAATTCCACCTTGTTGCAACGTCGCAGATCAGGCGATGCTGTGGAATTCCGTTCTGCCGCTGCAGCTCAAGGAGGGTGTGCTTTGCGGTGTAGGAATGGCTGAAATGCATGCAAAGTTTACGTGACATTTTAAGGATGTCTTGCAGTGGGATGGTGGATTTTAGGAACCGCTTGACAACCAGATTGAACACGTGAGCCATGCATGGCGCATGGCACAACCTTCCTTGACGCAGAGCAGACACCATGTTCTTTCCGTTGTCGGTCAACATGGTTCCGATTTTCAGTTTGCGCGGAGACAGCCATCTGTCGATTTCTCTGTTCATTACACTCAGAAGTTCCTCCCCTGTGTGACTACGTTCGCCAAGGCATACCAGGCCAGGTGCAGAACAGCGTGACACCGTTGCGCCCTGCACATGTGATATGCCGGTCGGGTAATGGGACTTGGCACGGGGGTGGCGGCTGAGGACACGGCGGAAGAAGAGGTGGTAGAGGCGGACATCTTTGCCGGACCAAGGACGTGCAAACGTGGAGGCAAAAGCGGCGTGACCTGTCCAAGTTGCTGGTGCGGCTGTGACGGCACCACGTTCACCCAGTGGGCCGTAAATGACATGTACTGTCCCTGACCATAGTTACAGCTCCACACGTCGGCGCTGCCGTGCACTTTGGCAGAGACCGACATGCTCAAAGACTGGCCCACCATGTCTTCTACATGTGAATGCAGGGCTGGCACTGCCTTTTTGGCGAAGAAATGACGGCTTGGCACTCTCCACCGCGGCGCGGCACAAGCCATCATTTCTCTGAAAGGTGCTGAGTCCACCACTTGGAAAGGGAGGGACTGCAGCACCAGCAACTTGGACAGGAGGACGTTCAGCTTTTGCACCGTCGGGTGCGTGCTCGCAAACTGTTGTCTCTTGGAAACGGATTCCAAGAAAGACTGCTGACGGAATCCGTGAAGAGGAGTAGCAGGAGAAGGAGCATCTGAACGAGCGGAAGATGCCAACGAGCGACAACTCCCCTCAGCAGAGGTGTTGGAGCCTTGACTGGCTGATGGAGGGCGATTGACGTCGGGTGACGGAGCAAGTAACGGAGCGGGTGATGGAGCGGGGGCTGGGGGGGGCAGAACCGCCGTATCTTTATCACGGTTTTCCCAGGCCACCAAATGGCGACGCTGCATATGCTGCCGCAACGCTGTAGTCCCAACATGGGCCCCCTGGCCACGCTTGACTTTCTGGCCACATAGTCGACATACGGCTACGTTTACTTCCTCGGGCGGCTTGACGAAAAATTGCCACACCGCCGAGTAGGAAACTTTGCCCCCGATACTCCTCACTGGCTGACTGCTGCTTCCTCCGTGCACACCGGCACCACTACTGGCCGTGGTGGTAGGCTGCAGTGGAGCTGGTGCTCTACTCCGTGGCCGTTTGGCTCCACTGACACTGCTTCCACTGACACTGCTGCGACCCTGCTGCTGTCTCCTGGGCAACCCACCGACTGTTTCGCTCACTGCCAAGCTGCCACCCTCTTCTCCTGATGATGCGGAAGAAATTGCCTGATGACGACGAGGCTGCCAAGTGCGATCAACCTCCTCATCATCAAGTAGGGTCTCCGCCTCACTACTAGCCCCCTCGGCTGCGTCTGGGTCAGGAGACAGACAGACCTGTCTCTAGACCGGCTACCGGGCCACTCTCCTCGCCACTACTTCTTCGCCTAGCTGCTGAAAAGGCGGATGTCTCCCCCCGTTCCTGACCGCCCTCTGTTAGCTCTTCCTCACTGTACAGTGGGGCTGAGCCCACAGCATGCGATACTTCGCTTGGTGAGGGAACACCAAAGGACAGGGGCAGGTAGAGGACACGTGATTTCAGTGGGCTTGGTCCCGGGCCATGCCAACTAACGGTTGTGTCTGACGTACCCACCGACCGTTGGCTGTAGGTGTCAGAGGTGACCTGGGAAGAGGAAGACGACCGAGCCAACCAATCGATGACGGCAGGGTTGTCGGTGGAGACACGACCGCTGGATGACACCGGGAGCACTGGCCTCTGGCTGCGAATAGTGCTGCCTCGACCCCTTCCTCTGCTGCCACGTCTGCTCGCTCCTAAAACATTGCCTCCTCTGCCACTCCTCTGCATGTTGTCTGACATACTCTTTAATTAAACGATTTATGTGTCCCTGAGTAACAATTCTGTGTCCCTGAGTAACAATTCTGTGTCTGTGCGAGTAACAATTCTGTGGCCCTAAGTAACAGTTCTGTGGCCCTCAGTAACAATTCTGTGTCCCTGATTAACGTTTCTGTGGCCCCAAGTAACAGTTCTGTGGCCCTCAGTAACAATTCTGTGTCTGTGCGAGTAACAATTCTGTGTCTGTGCGAGTAACAATTCTGTGGCCCTAAGTAACAATTCTGTGGCCCTAGTAACAATTCTGTGGCCCTGAGTAACAATTCTGTGTCCCTGAGTAACAATTCTGTGTCTGTGCGAGTAAACAATTCTGTGGCCCTGAGTAACAATTCTGTGGCCCTCTGTAACAGTTTCTGTGGCCCTAAGTAAATTCTGTGTCCTCAGTAACAATTCTGTGTCCCTGAGTAACAATTCTGTGGCCCTAGTAACAATTCTGTGTCCCTGTAACAATTCTGTGGCCCTCAGTAACAATTCTGTGTCCCTGTAACAATTCTGTGGCCCCCTAAGTAACAATTCTGTGTGTCCCTGATAACAATTCTGTGTGGCCCTGAGTAACAGTTCTGTGGCCCTCAGTAACATTCTGTGTCTGTCTGTAACAATTCTGTGTCCCTGAGTAACAATTCTGTGGCCCTCAGTAACAATTCTGTGTCGCGAAACAATTCTGTGTCTGTAAGTAACAATTCTGTGGCCCTAAGTAACAATTCTGTGGCCCTGAGTAACAATTCTGTGTCCCTGTAACAATTCTGTGTCTGTGCCCTAAGTAACAATTCTGTGGCCCAGTAACAATTCTGTGGCCCTGAGTAACAATTCTGTGGCCCTCGAGTAACAATTCTGTGGTCCCTGTAACAATTCTGTGGCCCTCAGTAACAATTCTGTGTCTGTCCCTGAGTAACAATTCTGTGGCCCTCAGTAACAATTCTGTGGCTGTCCTGAGTAACAATTCTGTGGCACTCAGTAACAATTCTGTGTCTGTGCTGAGTAACAATTCTGTGGCCCTAAGTAACAACAATTCTGTGGCCCTAGTAACAATTCTCTGTGGCCCTCAGTAACAATTCTGTAACAATTCTGTGGCCCTGAGTAACAATTCTGTGGCACTCAGTAACAATTCTGTCTGTCCCTGAGTAAAAATTCTGGGCCCTAAGTAAAGTTTCTGTGGCCCTGAGTAACAATTCTCTGGCACTCAGTAACAATTCTGTCTGTCCCTGAGTAACAATTCTCTGGCACTCAGTAACAATTCTGTCTGTCCCTGAGTAAAAATTCTGTGGCCCTAAGTAAAAATTTCTGTGGCCCTGAGTAAACAATTCTCTGGCACTCAGTAACAATTCTGTCTGTCCCTGAGTAACAATTCTCTGGCACTCCCTAACAATTCTGTCTGTCCCTGAGTAAAAATTCTCTGTCAGTAACAATTCTGTCTGTCCCTGAGTAACAATTCTGTGGCCCTAAGTAACAATTTCTGTGGCCCTGAGTAACAATTCTGTGGCCCTCAGTAACAATTCTGTCTGTCCCTGAGTAACAATTCTCTGGCACTCCGTAACAATTCTGTCTGTCCCTGAGTAA